GCCAGCCCAGCCCAGCAGTGCCTGCCACCTTCTCCCAAGCCTCAGCCACTCGGGTTTTGTAGACTTTGCTGCTGCTGCTGCACTTTGGTGCCTCTTAATACATTTCCCGTGGGATGGCGGCTTCTGGGGGCTGCGATCGGGACAGGGTTGGTGCCGGCAGGCAGGCAGCGGGCTGCGAGCCAGGCAGACCCCATGGCCTGTGATGGCAACTGCCTCCACCCAGGGCAAAGATGCGTAACAGTGAGCATTTCTGGTTTTCCCTTAACATTGAGCACTTCTGTTTTTGCAGGAAGATCTGGATAGGCTGGAAGAGTGGGCTAGCATGAACCTTATGAAGTTTAACACGGACAAGAGTACAGTCTTGCACCTGGGAAAACATAATCCAGGAGTGCAGCACAGACTGGGATCCACCCGGCTGGAGAGCAGCTCTCTGGAAAAGGACCTGGGGGTCCTGGACAACAAGTTCTGTATGAGTGAACAGTGTGCTGCTGCGGCCAAGAGGCCCATAGGATGCTGGGTCACATCAAAAAGGGCATCACCAGCAGAGATAAAGAAGTCATTATCCCATTCTGCTCAGCGCTTCTCAGGCCACACCTGGAATACTGTGTACAGTTCTGGTCCTCACTATACAAAAAAGGTGTGGACAGGCTGGAGGGGGTCCAGAGAAAGGCCACCAAGATGATCAAAGGACTGGGAAGCCTGCCATGTGAGGAAAGGCTAAGAGAAATGGGTTTGTTCAGCCTTGAGAAAGGGAGGCTCAGAAGTGATATCATCACTGTGTACCAGTACTTAAAGGGTGGCTACAAAGAAGATGGAGACTCCCTTTTCACAAGGAGTCACATGGAAAAGACAAAGGCTAATGGGTACAAGTTAATCCTGAGAAGATTTCGATTGAACATGAGAGCAACATTTTTCATCATGAGAGCAGTCAACCATTGGCATAATCTCCCCAGGGAAGTGGTTGACTCTGCCACACTGGACACTTTCAAGACGCAGCCGGACAGGGTGCTGGGCCATCTTGTCTAGACTGTGCTCTTACCTAGAAAGGTTGCACCAGATGATCCTTGAGGTCCCTTCCAACCTGGTATTCTATGATTCTATGATTCCATGAACCAGAGCCTGCAGGGCAGAATACAGCGCGTTACCCTGTGCTCTGCAGGGCCTCACACCGACCCCATCTACCAAGAGCCAAGTGACAAGCAGCCCCTGAGCCTGAGCATCCCACGGTGGAACCGTGCTGCTGCTGAGGCCGGGACGGCGCTGGAAAAGGTTTTCTGCAGCACGGTCGGCAGCAGAGGGAGCTCAAAGCGAGCTTTTGGGGGCTGCCTCCAGGGCTGCTGGAGCCTTGTCGGGGTAGGTGGGGTTAACCGATGGCAGGAGCCTTTCCGTATGCGGCTTGCCCGAAAGAAATAAAACCTTTAAGATGTATGCTGAGAATAGGGAGCATTTCTGGGCAGCAGAGTAAATAGAAAGTTTCCCTTTCAAGTCTGTCGTATATATAAATATATGGGTAAGTAGCTAGTACAGACGCTGGTAGCAAGTAATGAGCCAAGTATGTTTAGTATATTCAGATAATTGTGTATCCGAGAAGCAGCTAAACAAGGATGGAAACTAAGCTGGATGATGAGAAGAAACCTCCGATTAATTTGCTCTTAGTTCTGAAAAAAGTTTACATGTGCAGTCTGATTAGTACAGGCTTGATCCTGTGGACCATGTGGGTATCCTGTGAGTTACTCTCAGCAGGAGCTTATGCCTGTGGAGCACCTTCACGGGGAGGACCATACCAGAGAAGCGTGTAGAAATATAGCAGTTTCCCCTGTACTGGGCTCTGAAAGCACCAAGGTGTGAAGGCAGTTTGGGTATTGAAGTGGACTTTTCACAGACCAACCTGTAACTACCAGTCGAAGGAGGGACTGGAGGCTGGGAGGCTTCCAGTTTGGCACTAAGACTGAGTGCCAGGGCCGTAAATGAACCAGCTTGCTAGAGGTTGCAGATGAACTTAAAAAGGAAAAACAGTTCTTCCCATTTTTTCATCATAGGCAGACACTGCGTTGCCAGTGATAACACTGTAACTGTTCCTTTCAATGTTGCTAATCTTAGAGCATTGGTGATGGTGTAGATTTGCCAGCTCTCATGCGTCATCATGAGTTTCCTGGTGGTTGATCTATTTTCTTAAAACCCTAACTTCTGGACTCAGATGGCTAAAATAAAAACACCGGTCTTTTTATTAATAAAATCAAATTTCTAGCTCTCAGCTGGTGGAGAAAAGCATAGGAGCAAGATCCAAGGTTCATAAAGCTAAAAATAAAAGGAAGCATTGAAAATATTCTGGTTTTTAAATTCAAGACTTGTAAGTAATTTTCTTTATATTTTGCTGGTTAACTCATGATACTGACATTTAAAAATGCGTCAGAATCCAGTCCTGATCCCTGACAACTATTCATCAGTGTAAAATAGCAGAATTGTCAACAAAATGCAGAAAAGATTGAAATGTTCAGCAAATAATCCACTTACATACTGGGTAGAGAGCAGGATGAAGTATGCATATCTCAGAGGGGTGATGACATACTTTACATTCCAAAAATAACAGAGAGGGTGGTAAACAAAATCTCTTAACTTGGCAGATTTTAAAATCAGTAGGTATGGCTCATTTATATGTGATACTCTTAAGAGACACGACCAGGAAAAATAATTTTATTTTTATTAAGTCTTGGGATAGCAGAAATATGGAGATAAGTGGGAAAAAAGCCAATTGTCTGTCAATGTTAAAAGCAGGTAGATCAGAGGACCCGATGATGATCTGTCAGCTTGGCCTTGCTCCCAGACAAAATGAGAGCAGTGTAGATAGACGCTTCAACTAATAAAATATTAAAGAAGCATAATAATAATAATAATAACAACAATAATAATAATAATAATTCAAATCAATGTGGGATTAGGGAAAATAATTCTTGTCAAACCAATTTATATTTATAAAACAAGATTAGAAGTTTTACTGATAAAAGTATTTTGTTGCTTCTGTAAGCAACTGTCTGTCTAGAAAATCACATTTGAGTAAAAAGGTAGAAGAATATAAACTCAGTCTGTTTCACATTGGTGAAAACCCAGCACACTAGTCTTAAAATAACTAAAAGGAGAACCATCCTTAAGAAATTCCTTTCCAGAGAGGTTCTGCAGGGACTGGGTGTTGTCTTACGCTGTTTAATGTGTTGTGTTATTTTGTTTTAAACCATGTCCTGGATAAAATCCCAAGTGACGAAGTTTGCAGCTGACATGGAGGTTGGAAAAGTGGTCAGATAGAAGAAGAAGAGCTGCCTCGCACTGTGTAAATTGTAACATCTGGTAAGTGCAGATGAGCGAGCAACGTGCATTTCCATACATCCACTGTCAATCTCAGAACAGAAGACCTCAGGATGGTGCCTTTCAGCTCTTGGTACCCGAAGGACCATGCAACATCTTTAAAAGAAATCCTTGGTGTACTTAGAGTTCTACTGCCACTGAGAAGCACTTGCCACCTGCATGGGGTATGTGTGTACATATCAAAAAGCTGGCAAGCGTTTCTCAACTAAGTTGTCATGTGTTGCAAATCACAATCATCCTGACTGCAGGGAGTAACACTATGACAGGTCAGTCTTGGAGCATCAGCGATGGTATTATGAAAACAGGTGACTCTGAAAAGTCCTGAGGCAGTGCTTGGGAGTAGCCAGACGCAGGTGACTGTGGCATGTGGCTCTGTGGCAAAAGGAATAACAAGATCCTTGGATCCACAAACAGGAAAGATGTTGGGTTGGAAATAGTGCTTGAGCTCTTTACTTGGCTCCAGTGTGCTCTCAGGTCTCCAGTCCTGGTAACCTTCGGAAGAAAGAGGGAAGATCCATGATGTGAATAAAAGGCTTAAAGTGCACTGCACCACACCTGGCTTG